GGATGAATGAATGAATCTTAAGACAGTCGTGTAAGAGGGGCATTCACGAATCCACGTATCTTTGACTCTGTCTATTTTTCCAGAAACCTCGTATCCAATGTCCTCAGCTATCTTATATCCTTCAACGTGGTAATTTTAACAATCTGGTGATCATTCAATATAGGATTATAGTTCTAAAAGCCAATGATCTTGGTTTCTTGTCGATTACCAGTCGAATTCATCGATAGATCGCGTCTTACCGCTTTCTTCGAGTTCTCCTCGGGGCAACCAGGACATCATGGAAGCTGCTTTCTTCGGTGAAAAGAAGATTCTTCCGTGAAAAGGATATTTCACATATTTTGTTCTCTGAAGTTGATTTTATAAGAAAAAAAAAAAAGTTCGATACAAAAAAGTGGATTAATCTGTGTATTTTTAATAATTTAATGAGAACTAACTAATGGCTCGTAGTGTTCTCTTATCTTTGAAATTATTTTTATTATTTATTAAGAAATAAGAGAGAAAAAAATCATTAATTTATGATTATTCGTGGTGATTATAAGTTGAGTTCATGACATCTGAGGATTTTAAGAAACATGGAAATTTCGTCGAGGAGAAGGTGTCTCTGGCAGCCGTGGCTTACTACAGAGAACTTTCAAACGAGATATAAATCCAGAGGTACGTGAGGAAATGTTTTTGATTATAAAAAATCTGAAATTCTTCAATAGTTTCGTTGGATAATCTTTATATGTACATGAATATTATGATTTTAAATTTTGAAGAGATTTAAAAATATCTATATTACTATTTAATATTTAAATCTAAATGTAAAGAAATAAAGATGAACTATAATTAAATAAATTTTAAAATACCGATAGATTAATTTTTATTATCATATTGTGTATCAATAATGTATTTCAAAATTTTGTTAAATTAATTTTACATTGAAATTTTATTAATTTAGTTTCCATCAATGTTTTAGAATCCACGCCTCTGGTACCTCTTATAAATTACCGAATTTGACGAAAGTATGGTAGCAACCAGTGAATTAATTGAACGGAACCATGTCAGCTTCGTCCACGCGTTCGGTCCATTCATCTTTTTCCCGGGCGCTGGCTCATCCTTCGCCTTTAAACCAGTTTGACCGTCTTCCTGACGATCCTCTCACGGCTATTAGGTACTTCCTGCCCCATCCTGGGAACCAGACTCGTTTCTCTACTCACCCTTCGCGCTTTTCTCTTCTCCCACCTCATTTTTTTTATTCTTTACGCACTCCTCCGCATATTTCTCGATCAAGGGGTTGCTAGATCGGTTTCCAATTTTATCACAGGGAATAATAATACTTGAACCGTGATGTTTTATAAATAAATTAAATACGTTAGTGAAGGTTCGAGAACAGATTTGCGCGTACATTTTGTAATGGATTTAAGATAGTTTATAATGAAATTTGATATATATTCAAGAGAGATTCAAGAAGGAAGTCTGAAATTTAGGATGGCTTAAAACCCGGACCTTTAATTTTTTCTCCGAGCTATTACACACACATTTTTTGTTGCACATGCAAAAATTAATTGAACAAATATTGATTGAATATCTGCATGCAATTTAGGTATTAAAATAAAAGAAATTAAAATTATTTAAAATGTATAATCTATTATATTTATTTATAGGTTTTTTTTTTTAAATGTTAAAAAACACAATTCCAAATTCATTCATTTTTCAAGAGTATCATTTTCTATTATTTTTATCCATATTTTCATATCCATTTTAAAATCTTATTAAATAAATATTTTTTTATAAAAAAAAATCTCAAATAATTAATCAAATTTTAAAAACAATATTCACACTTTACAAGCTTATCTAGACGATTAAAAAAAAAAAATATAAAAAATTAAAAAAAAAATGATAAATGTTAAGAAAGACTTTCAATATCAACTTAATATTAAATAGACAGAATGTAAAAAAATTTCATGCAAAAGCTTTTTTATTGCATAGAGGAGAGGCCAAAGACGACGAATCTCCATCGGAAACCAAGTAGCGCGTGGCGCAAAGAGCGTAGGAGGGATCCAATTCAAAGTGAAGCCCTAGACATGTCTGCGGCCCGGGTCCATCATCATCACAGCAGGCCCAGCGTGATTGTGCCTACCACACCGCAACCTGGTAAGCTTCTGGTTGCTGGTTCCTAGTGTTCCACGCGAATTCGTTAGGCAAGAGGCTGGCTACCGTTGTTCTTGGCCTCGCAGGGGGCAGCCAAGAAGGGCTATTGTCTGGCGCGTATGGGGTGACTATGTGCTTTGACAATGTGGCGTGATGCACGTCGCGCAGATGCTTGGCTGTTGAATAGAGG